CCAATAGACCCTTTTAGATAACGAAGAATTCTCTTCACAATTTGCATATGAGCTAATGTAGGAGCATGCATAAATTGACTCACAATACTCACGACATAATAGATATCAGGACGCGTGATTGTGAGATAAATAAGTTTTCCTACAAGTCTTTGATACTTAGTAATGTCAGAGAGAGCTTCACTGTGAGTACTAAGTTGTAGCTTGCTATCCAAAGGAGTACGTGCAGGTTTACTATCTATTAAGCCAGAGTCCTTCAAAAGATCAAGTACGTATTTCCTTTGATTGAGAAAGAGGCCTTCCTGTGAATTTGCAAGCTCAATACCTAAGAAATATTTGACACGTCCCAAATCTTTGATGGCAAATTTGTTTTGCAGAGCGAGCTTGAGAGAGTGAATTTCTTCAGCATTGTCACATGTTACTATAAGATCATCAACGTAGATTAAAACGATTACTTTTCCAACTAAGCCATCAAGAACAAATAGTGAGGAATCATCACTACTTCTTTGAAAGCCAAACTCTTCAAGAATGGAGCTCAGTTTTGCATACCATGAACGTGGAGACTATTTTAATCCATAAATGGATTTGTGCAGTTTACAAACCATGTCGGGGTCATCTGATTGAGAATGTCCGGGTGGTAGTTTCATGTACACTTCCTCCTCTAATTCCCCATGCAAAAAAGCATTCTTTACATCCATTTGATAAAGAGGCCAAGACTTATTTACGGCAACTGATAATAGAACCCTTACAATGTTCATTTTGGCTACGGGAGCAAATATTTCCTTGTAATCCAAGCCATAAGTCTGAGTAAATTCATAAGCCACCAAACGAGCTTTGTGCCTTTCAATCGTCCCATCTGAGTTGAACTTAGTCTTGTACACCCAACGGCTGCCAACTAATTTCTTCCATTCGGGAAGTTTAACTACACTCCAGGTTCGATTGTCATGAAGAGCTTGCAGTTCATCCCTCATCGCTTTTTGCCAAATTTCAAGTTCATTTGCTTCTTGAAATGTTTGTGGTTCATGAGTATTGTCCAAGGTACTAAGAAAAGAAGTATGAGAAGAGGAAAACTGCTTATAGGAAACAAAGTTTGTAAGAGGATACCTAGAAGTGTAGGTAACATAATCATGTAGTCGAAGTGGAGGCTGTCGAACCCTAGAAGGGTTTCGACGAATTGGAACTTGAGGTTCAATATCTGTGGTTTGAGATGAAGGTAGCTCATGCAATAGAGTTGGTGGGTCACGTGAAATGAGACTTTCTTGATAGAGAGGAACACTAGGTAATGGAAACATGTCACTCAAAAACTCCCCATGATCTGCATCACTTAGTTTCTTAGAGAAGTAGGACATGTTTTCATCATATCTCACATCCCTTGAAACCATTATTTTCTTTGTGATTGGATTGTAACACTTGTAGCCCTTTTGGGTAGATGAGTAACCAAAGAAAACACATTTGGTTGCTCGAGGATCCAGTTTATCACGGTGGAGAGATTGGTTGTGAACAAAGCAAGTGGACCCAAAAGCTCTCAAGTGTGAGAGATCATTTTGTCTGTCCTTCAACACTTCATATGGAGACTTGAAACTGAGTACTTTACTATGCAATCTATTGATTAAGCAGGCAGCTGTAAGTACTCCTTGTGACGAAAATTTCTTTGGCACATTCATATGAAACATGATTGATCTTGTCTTCTCAAGAAGGTCTCTATTCTTTCTCTCAGCAATCCCATTTTGTTGGGTGTGCCAACACATGTCGTTTGGTGCAGTATGCCATGAATACTAAGATATTGAGACATGTTACGGGACATGTATTCAGTGCCATTATCGGATCTTAATATATGAATTTTTGATGCAAATTGAGTACCAACCAGTTTGTGAAAATCTTGAAAAACATTTGAAAGTTCACTCTTAAATTTCAAAAGATACAACCAAGTCATCCTTGTAAAATCATCAACAAAGGTTACAAAGTATTTATAGTCATCAAAGGACTTTAGTATTGGACCCCAAATGTTTGAATGAATGATTTCGAAAGGATGGCTAGCTCTAGAAGTGGAAGAATCAAAAGGCAACCTAGAAAACTTAGACAAGTGACAAACATCACACTTTAACTTGTCCTTACATATTTTTGGAAACAAAAAAGACATTACTTTATCAGAAGGATGTGCCAAATGTTGATGCCAAAGTTGTTGGTCTTGAAAAACACTTGAACTGACTTGAAAAAACTTGGGATTCTTAGTGTCTTTAGCCAAGTAGTAAAGCCCATTCAACAAGAAACCTTCACCAATTGTTTTCTTGGTGATGATATCCTGAAAAATGACATTGTGAGGGGAGAAAATGACTAGACAATTTAGAAAATTGGTGATAGCTCATACTGATAGAAATTGAAAAGGAAAAGAAGGTATGTAAAGGGCTGCTGACTCTATGTGTTTTGATAATAAGTTGATTTTTCCTTTGCCGACAACTGTGGCACCCTTCCCATTAGCTACTGACATTTAAGAAAAATTTGTCATTTTTGTAAAATCATGTAAGTTATTAATTTTATTTGTCATGTGATCCGTGGCTCATGAGTTAATGATCCAATAATCATGTTCATTACTAGCATTTAGGGCAGTAGAGAAGGCACTAAAAATACCTGGGATATCTTTCTGTGAAACATGGTCATGTTTAGCCAGAAAACCAGCAAAATTTCCAAGTAAAGCTGTGTGATTCTTCTCTTCAGCTACGAGAGCTTCATCTCTATTGTTAAGCACCTGTTTGCTGTGGAGATATGCTGCAAAATCATTGATTAATCCAGCAGGATTGGTAGTGAAATTCACCATTCCTTCTGTCGACAAGGTAGCTGCATGGTTGGCCTTATAGCTATTGTTGTTCAGATATTTTTGTGTACCCTTTATCTCTGGACCTTTTGTCTCCTTCAAGAACTTAGGCTTCAATTCCGGATGAAGAATCCAACATCTGTCTTTTATATGGCCAAGAGAATCACAGTAGCTGCACTTTAAATCTGGTCTTTTTCCCTTGTAAACTTTGCTTTCAGGACGTTTGTTGCTAGAGACATAAGCCCTAGTCTCAGAAACGTTGTCTTTAGTCTCTTGATTCATGACTTTCCTCCTTACTTCTTCCCTTTGGATTATGGCACACACCAGTGAAGGAAGGGAGTTCAGCATTCATTAAGATGTGACTTCTGAGGTCTTCGAACTCTGGACCTAAGCTTGCCAAGAGTTGAAAATTTTTGTCTTCTTCAGCTCTCTTGATAAACACAGTGGCATCAGTGGTATGAGGACGATAAACATTGAGCTCATTCCACATGTTTGTAAGACTGCCAAGGTGTTGAACAAATGCTTTGCTTCCTTGTTGTAGACTTGCCAGATTCTTCTTAAGCTGGAAGACATGGGCAGCATTATTTTGATTTCCATACATCTCTTTTACTTGCTTCCAAAGATGCATGGATGACTCGGAATAACTGAAAATTTCAGCAATCCTTCGCTCCATTGAATTGAGCAACCAAGACATGACCAACTGATCTTTGCATAGCCACGACTCGTATGTAGAAAAAGTGACTACTGGAGCTTCAATAGCACCATTTACATAGCCAAGCTTTGATCTTCCTCCAAGTGCAAGAGATACTGCACGACTCCAGGGAAGGTAGTTGAATTCATTCAACAAAATAGAACTAAGATGTTGATTAGGATTGACCTCAACGTCAGAAAATGCTGGAGCATCCATCGAGCTTTCAGTTTCAGAGAGTTCTTCAGCCATCTTGGCTTAGAGCAAAAGAAACTTAGCGGAAACGATTACTAGAGTCAGGAATTTAGAGTTCCTGCTTTGATACCATATTGAATTTTTGATGTATATTTCATGTCTAAAACAGTTACAAGATCAAACATATATAGAAGAAGAAACCGGAAAGAAGAATGGAGGACAAAAGGTAGAGGACAATGGCAGCTAAGCAAGTATGATGATGACCTCCACTCTCACTAACTAGCTTTACAATGATGAGGGAATATTATCACTTAACTATGCCTAAAGTAAACATTAAACACCATGACTAAAGCAAACAGCTAACACTAGCACTAAGACTAGCCAAAAGCTCCCTAAGCTGAGCTGTTATCCATCAAAACTAGACAAAAGCTTGCATTATTCTTCCAACAACATTATTCTTCCAACACAGGAAGATGGTGTAGATGAGATTAGCTTTAATCAGATGGATGATCCTGAGTTTATTGGTATGCCTAAGGATGTCTACTTACACAAGCCCGATACCGGGCTCTTACGTTATATAGGAAGAAGCGTTCCTCAAAATGGTGCACCAAGTGAACGAGACATCTTACGTGTACGTACAATTTTGATGTAATTAATTACATACGAACTTGTTCAGCAATTTTAATGTAATTAACACGTACGATGGATACCCCGATCATGAAAATAAAACACACTTAAATTAACGGTTTATTTTTTCACAATGCCCTCTTGAACTCGAACTTGATTCCCCTTTGCTTCTTGGTACGAAAATATAGTCACTTTACACTTTGAAACTCGATTTTGTATAACTTTAGCGGTATTCTATCCATTCCATCAAAACGGCGTTAAGTATGCTATTGTGTAAGGGTATTACATTAATTCTGAACACCCATCCACGCCTCTTGTTCTTCTCCAAGCCGGCTTTGCATGCTTAATTCTGAGGGTTCTCCAATGGTAGATTGGAGATGATAGTCTCCAAAAGCTCTCTCAGTTGACTCTTCCAAGCTAAGGCGGCGGAGGAGGAAGACGAAGATTTTCGATTGTTCTCGAAATTCCAAGAAATAAACCGCTTGATGCCGTATCCCCACGCCAATTCACATGTCATCTCAATATTGATTTCAAAGCCAGCTCCACCAAAAACCCCGCCCATGAATTAAAACTACAAATTAAGAGATAGCTAGCATATGAAATTTCATTCATATGAATTCACGTCTTTTCTTTACTAGGGTTTCCTCCAACTTGTTTCTGATATGCCTTTTTCTTGCGATACTAGCTCATTGAGAATGATAAACACACAGATCTTAAACCGGCAAGTCTCAGAACATGAAACTGCAACACAAAGAGTTTCGTTACTTCACAACTGCGACAGGAACAAGAACACGAGGATGACAAACTATCGATCAACTACTAAGCTAGTCTCAGCACACCCTAAATGCAAAATCCATCAGAAAGCCATTGCCCTTGGGAAGTTCATTTATCATTTGTGAATGATTACAGGCTCTAAGTAGGTACGTAGCAATAAAACCTTCAGTCAGGTACATAATAACGTTACGAGGCTCTGTGGCTGGCATGGCATCCACACCTTTCCCAAATATTAACCCAAGTAGAAGGCTTGTCAATGTCGATTCTCGATGCTTTGTTGTAAAGTTTTGTTGCTAAAAATAAATGCTCCTCGACCCTCTTCTCTTTTTTTCGTATCAATTTTTCCAAGCTAGGTGTAAAATCAATGATTGACATGAGAGCTTAGGTAGTAACCAAGCGCATTTGGGTCAAGAATTTTCTTTTCGTGGTCTTGCAGAAACATACATTATCTGTTGTCTCGATGATTCTTCGCTTGGCAGTGATCGGACAGAGCTTGGATTAAAAGCATGAAGAAGACCATGATTTTTTATCTCATGGAAAAACCGACAAGTATCCTAAATCAGGAAAAATTATCTTGTCGTTTAGCAGTAATATGAAATTGTGTCATCATCACTCGTTCATTTAGCATACTCTAATAACAATTATTTAGTAAAGTAATTTACACTAAAATTTACAAACAAATCGGCAGTCTTGAACTATCATCTTTACAGAATGATAATTTGAGCATAGGTCATTACTTCCTTTAGCTTTTCATGGACTAGTGCCCTGCCTTTTTCTTTCCAAAGTGCATTTGATTCATAATACAAGGCCTCCACCCACACTCCAGCACCATCATAGTATTTTTCGTAGGGATCGATTACCATTTTCTCGAGCATTATTGCGTTTCTCGGAAATGTACTAATTAAGGGTATACAAAATCACAAATCCATGGTTAAATCTCAGAACATTAACGTTGATCGAATTTGCAGGAGATTCGGTTGTTGCATGTCATGTATGTCAAGCATGTTCTTCGTATTTTCAAATTAACTAAGAATTTATACTTAGCTCTTCTACATAGCGTTGTACTAACTGGTTTATGAACGTTATAAGACAATGCTGAGTGCAATTTTTTATTTTTTTTTACTTTGTGCATTTCTTTTCCTCACTTGGGCTGTTTTATGATACCTCTCAATTTTCCATCTTTGATTCTTGTGTTTTCCGCCTGCTATTAAATTCTTTTAATTCATATTTGACCATTTTATTCTTTAAAGGAAACATAATGACGAGAATGACCAATTTTTCTTTGTTACCCATTAGAGTGCTTTTCAGTAAATAACTTGTAATAGAAAAGGAAAAAGTATACGAAGGATGAATTAATTTGCCATCCCAAAGTTGCATACTGAGATGTTTGTGTTTATTACCATTCTATTTCTATGTCCTCATTTATCTTTAGGCATCATTTGTTCTCTAGATTACTCGCATAGATTCATGTAATGGTAGAGGACAGCAAGATTTTCATTAACTCTTCACCCAAACATTTTTCATTGTTCCATATGCAACAATGAATATAGTTAAGACACTATTTTCTGAACTACAACAAAATAACCCACACTATTTCCGAAACTACAGTAAATAAACCTATACTATTTATGAAATGAACAAAAAACCCACAATGTGTCTAAAAGGTAACAAAATAAACACTACTTATGAAACTATAGCAAAATAACCAACACTATTTCTGGAAGTGAACCAAAATAACTCATACTATTTCTAGAACATTTTTCATTGTTCAAGGGGCGTTTTCGGCACTTCTTCTGTGTCGGTTTCATGAACATGCGAGGCATGATCAGGCGTAGAGTGTAGAGGGGTGTTGTTCATGACAACTTTTGGACCGACAGACATAACTCTGAATTTAGGACAATCTTTGACAATATTCCAACATTCACACCGGGTGAATGATTTGTTTTGGTTTTTGGTTTTGGCATTATACCAAGCTTGTGTTTGAAGTGTCTGCACAATGTGGGAGAAGAAATAATTGTAGTCAAAGTAGCTAATGTAAATTTGGGTATAGTACAAACAAATAAATAATATATTGTTATCTGATCCACTAAATTTTCCCCACTTCGAAGATTACTACTAGCTTGTGCCAAGGCGCCTCTCCAAAGATTTAAACGATTGATTGAGTATTCTCCAACGACTGGACATCGATTCTTTGATTCTTTTCCCACCAAGTTTCTCAAGATAATTGGTATGAATAAGACTCCATATTTCTCACAACTGCATCTCATTACCTGTAATCGGATCATGAGTAACTTCAACCCAGCTAGAACACAACGTAACATCTTCAATAAGTGTCCAATTCGTACCTGCATCATTAGTCATTTTGTTAAAAACCAATTGGATTGAAACTTTGAGAGAAAAATTGGAATGTGGTTGAAAGTATTTGAGAAAATATGAAATTGTGGTGTAAGGTAGAAGATAATGAGAAGTTATTTATAGAAAAGTAAAATCATTTATTTTCATTTTTATTAATTTTAAACATTTTTTATTAACATAATTAATTTCTGCAGTTGGATTAAAAAAAAAATTGAAATCCAACCCTCCAGATTGTGCCACGTGACACAACGGTAACATTTCAGAAATTTTTAATGTGATTTTTTTTTAAATTTATAAAGGCGAATAACATGGACCGTTGATCTCGAATCCAACGGCTGATATTGTGCCATGTCATCTAGTTGTTTGCGGAAGGTTTGAATTTTTTTTACCGATGGAAATCCAACGGTCTATATAAGGTATCCGTTGAAATCCAACGGACGACGTTGCGCCACGTGGCCCACAACAGTAACATTTCAAAACTTTGCACCGTGGGCCCTCCAACTAAAAAGCTGTTGGTGACGCGCCCCCACGCACACGTGAACGACACACGCCTGACGCCCATTTAACCATAACCATAACCATTTACCCGTTTATCCTTTTTTTACCTATTCACCCTTTTTTTCACCCGTCTACATGTTTTTTTTTTTTTAACAACTTGAAAATTACAAAAGAAAAATTTGTCATACTTTTCGTTTTCTGACAATTAAACACCGTTATAGGTACATTTTAGCATGCATTTCCCTATTTTAATCATTTAAGTCCTCATACAATTCCAATAATTGAAATAATAGTTTACGAACGATATTTTTCTACTACACCCAAGCAAGTCTTTAATTATAATCCATATGACTAAAAACAAAAAGTAGTCATTATCTTGAATACTAGATGATTCAAAACTCCAAAATATTCCAAAACCAAATACTTTCGAACACATACAATCACAAAGTATCATCGACTCGTTGCCACCAAAAGAGGCCTACAAAAGAAATGTATCAATTGAATTAGTATCCCATTTAGGAACACCGACACCAATTAGTATGAACAGAAGGTTTACATTCCATGATTTTTCACACACCCATATACATAAATTGAATTAGTATCACCAATAACTCCAAAGTAAAAAACAAAAATAAAGATTAGTTTTTACCACATTCACATCATTATCAATACCGAATGAGGAATTTTCAACACGAGGAGTAGAATTTGAATCTGGTTCAATAGTAAAAATTAAAATTAGGCTAAAATAGTAAATTTTTGAACATATGCATAATTTATATGAAATTTTACAGTAAGTACCTCGCATCTGACTCCACAACCAGTCTCGAGAACACATGAGTGCTTCCACTGTGCTTGAATGAAGTCGGCTACGGTGTGGACTGATAATCCTACCACCAGTACTAAATGAAGACTCTGAAGCTACTGTAGATACATGAATAGCCAAAATACCACGAGCTATTTGATGCAAAATAGGATATTTAATCCCATTTGTCTTCCACCACGACAATATATCAAAATCTTGAGTTCTAGGCAAGACTTTCTCCCCCAAATATAGGTCTAAATAAGATTGTTCATTACCGATGGTAGAATCCATAACAAACTGGTAATAAGATGTTAAAGGATCACCAACTCTGAAATCACATGACTGTGATGGAAAATCAGTCGAAGAAGAAGATTCAGAAGACCGAAGCCCAAGTTTATGCTTCAATTCATACTCTTTGACCAACATAATAGCCAAGACAAAGACTTCCTCAATTTTCGATGGAGCATTCTCTTTATAAATAAGAGAAAAATATAATACTCGATCAATTTCATCTTGAACCTTAGATCCATAATAGCTGCAACTGCAATAGCACCATGAATTTTATGCCAATACTTTTCAAACTTGATTGACATCTTTGCTGCCAATAACTTATCTTCAACATGGTCAGACTCAAGCCACTTACAGATTGCAATCCTAATCTGACACACATTTAAAAAATAAAGATTTGATGTGGGATACTTGATCCTAAAAAATAACTCAGTCACTTGGTGAAAGATCTCCAACTTTTCAGCAATCATGTTAGTCTTCACCCAATCTTCTTCACTTGGAACATTTTTATATAAGGGCTCACGTTGCGTTAAACGAGGAAATACATCTTTATATACCAATGCAGTGGTCAGCATCACATACGTCGAGTTCCACCCAGTTTTACAATCAAGGACTAACTTCTTAGAGAACTTAATTTTCATTTGTTGAGCTATCTCAACAAATTTTTCCTCTCTTTTTGCTGTCCCAGACCAATATGCAACACTATTCCGAATAGTCTCAATACTATCCTTAATCACATCCAATCCATCCTTAACTATCAAATTAAGTATGTGAGCACAACAACACATATGAAATAATTCTCCATTTAACACAAGTGAAAGCTTGCAATATGTCACTATATCCTCAATCATGGCATCATTTGTAGAGCAATTATCTACTGTGAGAGCAGACAACTTACCATCAATATTCCACTCTGATAAGCAATCTATCATTATAGCAGAAAGTGTCTCGGCATTATGTGGGCATGAAACATATGCAAACTTGATATAAAACACCACTTAATTACCATAACTTAGAGTAACATGATGTGCTAAGCAATAATCCAACACTAAAATTTAATACACAGAAGCAAGATCTATTCCATAAGTAAACAAGACATATTCCAGATTTTAAGCATTTAGTTTATAAGTTTCTACGGGAATAAATGAGCAAAGATACATTTTTAAATTCGAAACACTCATTTAAAATCTTCCTCCAACGACTCAGAGCAAAGCATTAACTAAAACTGGAAGTCCTTGTCTTCCTCCAACGAGTATGAGCTTTCAAATACACAACAAGCACATGTAACAACTTACCTTAGAATTCGACTTTGAAGCGTCCACGAAGCATCAATAAAATGAGAAATGATAGCCATAAACCCTCTTTTCTGATTACTTGAAGTCCACATGTCAGTCGTGATTGCAATTTTACTTTTGTTCATTTGCAACAACTTCATGGTCTCTCCCTTTTCACATTCAAATACTTTCATAATATCCCTCTTGATAGTACTTCTAGAAATAGCCTTAAATAAGGGTTGCAATGAATTGCAAAACCTCTTAAAACCCAAGTGGTCCACCATAGATAAAGGATACTCATGTAAGATAATCATATAAGCTATCTCTTTCCTAGCATTACCTTCATCAAAACTATATGCACCATGTTTAACATACCCATCACTAGTTATAACTGGACTCTTTTTCTTTGTCATCAATATAGGACATGTTCTAACATGTGAACGTAAAGATGAAGTACCAACAGTGGAGCCCGATGCTAGCCTAGCTTTACAATGGTTACAGACAGCTTGCACCTCCCCACAAAAACTTTTTTCCTCTAAATGCTGCCAGACAACTGAGGTTCTTTTTCTCTTCCTACCAGTGTCATCAAAGCTTAATTCACTTTGGTCCAATTCTTGATCAAGATTAATTGGTTCTTTATCTTGGTTCTCGCTTTGAGTCTCCATCTTGGAACTAGTTGAAATGAAACAAAAAGAGGTAATGGCATATGGTGGAAAATTCAAAACCAATTGATATAAAACACCAACTAATATAAAAGTAAAACATCACTCAATCAACTGTTCCTTTACTAACAAAATGGCATTATGCAAAACCAACTGATATAAAACACCAACTAATATATCAGATTGTCCCCAAATAGTCAGATTGTCCCCAAATTTTGACACAGAACCAAACTGAAAGCTACAGAACCAAATGCGAAAGATGGGAAACAAATTGTCCCCAAATAGTTAGTCAAATTTTGTAATGCAAAAGCAAGAAATTGATGGTAATCCTGAACTTTAGCACATAACCAAAATGGAAAAAGCAGCCAAAATTTAACACGGAACCAAACAAATTGCATAACCAAATCCAGCATACCCAAAACAAATTGCAAAACCAAAATTTCTCACAAATTAATCAAACCTCAACCAATAGTGCTAAAAAATTAAGTTACCCAACCAAATCCAGCATACCCAAAATAAATTGCAAAACCCATGAAATTGAAAAGCTACAAAACCCATGAAATTGAAAATAAAATCTACAAAACGCATCAAATTGAAAACAAAATATGTAGAACATGAGAGAAATTACCATGAGACTAACCTTGCAAAGTAAGGAAGTGTGGGTCGAGGCTCGAAAACGCAAGAGGAAGTCACGGGTCACGGGGGTGAGAGACTGAGAGTGAGATGGCGACACTTGCAAATCGGTGACGGCGAGATGTGAGAATGGTCGCAGGTCGCTGGGAAAGAAGAAGACGAAGTGGAAGAGCGGTGGAGTTAGGAAGGAGAGGGTTCGGACTAGAGGGAGGAGAGAGAGAGAGAGAGAGAGAGAAAGCCTGCTTCTAAAACCCTCAAAATCACTGTGATAATTTTTTTTTTAATTTTTACATATATTAAATTAAATGGGTAAATGGATACCCGTATAACCGCGAGTAATAACCATAACCGATGGATACCCATTATAACCGTGAGTAATACTCATTTATTTGTCTAAACGATTACCCATAACCGTAACCGTGAATTTTAAATGAGCGGGTAACTGCGGTTATCCAAACCTATAGATATTTTACCTATCCCTAGCACTACGTAAGATGGTACGGGTCTGTCTTGGATCTCACAAAAATACCTTTTCAACTGTCTTCGATCTACAAATTAACAACAAAAATATTCCCTGGCATTTTTCAGTCACTGCCAGCTGCCCGCCGGGCCAGAAAAGATAATAAGTGCATTGTCACGACTCACGCCGTACTTGAACTATATCATCATCCACTTTACTGTTTGTTTAAGATTTTGAAAAATGTGACATCGACTTTATTCTTTATTTACTTAAAATTTTGTAATATTAAGATTAAATCTGACATGAGACTCGGAATAAGATAATCCATCCGTATGCTTTATTGTTAATTAATTTATGCAATCCAAGACAGATATATTTTTGTTAGGTCAAAGACCGTGTCCCTTTTGCCAACGAATTAGGTGATGTCCGAACGCTAACATTGCGATTTTACTAAGGTAATACTAAGAAGGTTAAATTTGTAAATAAAATTTTAAAAACTAAGTGACATAGAAATTTATGATTGGTTTATTACTTAAATGTTGATAAATATATTTTTCCTATTAGTTACACAATAATTAGTTTCCAAGTTTAATTTTAAATTTAATCATTCTAACATTATTTATGTATGACAATCGATTACAAATAAGAAAGTAGACGAGTTGAGATTTTCTGCACCCATTTTTGCCTATGGTCCCTCTGTGCCTTTGTTAATTGAACTAAACATAATTAATGTTAACTTGACAATAATTAAAATAATAAAAAATAAACCAACTCCTTAATCAATTAACAAAGGCACAGAGAGGCCACAGGCAAAAATAGGTGCAGAAAATCTAAACTCAAAAGAGACATATACTTGGGTGGGTCCCGCTCGTCAAGTTCTACTTCAGTTTAAGGTTGCACGCATTCCTATGAGTCATGCTTTCAACATTAAAATACTAAATTGTGATTTTCGTTAAGTAAGAGTGTCTATGTCTACTTTCCAGAATGAGACGCGTTATCTTATGGGTATCAGAATCCATTGCAGAATCCATTGCAGAAACGTCCGCTCACGTGAAGCGTCCACTGCATGAACGCGTTATTGTTTTTATTTAAGATTGTGACAGAACAGTCAACATAAGATAACGCGTTATGTTTATTTAATGATGGGCTCCACAGTACGGTCATTCCTTTCTTGCCAAACATGCCAGATCACAGTACGGTCATTCCTTTCCTCACTTTTGGCTGGACTTTAGCTCTCCATATAATTTTTTATAATGGAGAAAATGGGCTACTATCAGTATCCGAAAAAGAAGCACTCACCAACGGAGATTTTATACCGTTAGTTCTCATGCAACCCAATAGGCACTCTTCACCGTGAATATCCATAGATCATTATAACGTCAAATTAATTTGTCCGGCAGGAGCCGAGAACTAACGGCCAATTTACGGTTCCTTTCATCACATAAATTGGTTGACTGAAATGTTAGCGTATGCAAAAGGGCTGTTGATGATGCTATTTTTTCTATAACCGAATTAACAGTTGCTATTGTATTCTTAGCATAAGCATCTAACTGAAAATGGTGTATTATTTTGGGGACACTTTGGATACGGTCCCTAACTACCAATGTTCTTTGATTGAAACCTTTATGGTTTTTAATTTTTGATCGAACTCCATGACATTAATGTAATAATGTGTTTCTATGTAGGTATTATATTTTTAAATTAAAAATAAAATACTTAGTTATTTATATTAACGAGATTTAAATTAAAGCCCATAATATATGAGATTAAAAATATTAAAGATAAATTATACTCTCCAATATATTGTGTATATACATGTATATACACGGGTACGTTCATAAAAAACTAACCAAAAAATTATTGTACCAAAATATGGGTACATTTTTCAAAAAAAAAAGAAAGAAAGATATTCGGCTTAATAACATTATTAATTTCTTCTATCAAACTTAATATGGATACATTCTCAAATCAACGAAATAAAATGTACTCATATAAGTTTAAAAATGGATTATAGAAAAGATTGAATGAAATTTATATAAAAGATGGGTACATATTATATTAAAAAAGGGTACTTTTTCATATAACAAATTGGTATATTTAAGAATGGGTACATATCAATTTTTTATAAAAATTAATGGGTACAAACTTATTCTTATTTTATTTTTTATATATTTGAAATGTTTGAATTGAAAATTAATTAGGATTTTAATAAGAGTGTGAGTGTTAAAACTCTTAATCAATTACTAATTTTTATTATGAAAATTATGTAACTTACATGTAATTCATTAATATATTAATGCTAGGGGCTTTGATTAAAATATAAAAACTGATAAGATCTTAACCAATGAACATTAGAAACTAGGGATTGGATACTAATATTTCCATTATTTTGTTTTCTACATCTGCCATTGCCTAACCTCCAACAAAACGTGACAGTTTTGCTAAAACAAAAGGTAAGTCATTACTGTGTGAGTCGAGCAGTACTTTTTTCTGTTTCTTTTTTCTTTCTTCTTCCCCCCTCTAAGGCTCTCTTCAGGTTGCTCATATGTGGCCATTTGGGCCTTGAGAAATGTAGTTGGATTTAAGATTATGAGAAATTGGAATATCCTTAATCAACTTTATATTTATTATATGATATAAAACCATATATTACTTTGTTAGAGTAACTGGTAGCACAGAGAGCTTCGCACGACACATAGCTGATTTTGTAAGTAAATTACTTAATCTTATTTCGTTTGTTGAAATATAAATAAGAGGTGATTGTATGTATTGTGATCTTACTATTGTTGGTGTATCTAATTATAAAAAATTATGACGTTGTAATTTGTAATTTAATAAATTATTATTGTATATGTATTTGACTGTAATTTACTGATAAGTAGATGACCCACTTCAATTAGTTTGAATAAATTTTAAGTCATAGGTGTGTTTGGACACATTAATTTGAAACAAAAAAATCCACACTTAATAATACCTCTTCAAATTAGCCCTAAAGCTATTTCTGCGTGGGGTGGGAGCCACCGGCCACCTTCATTTCTTTTCGCCCAAAGCTCCAGTCGCTGTTGCAACACGCACAAATAGTAGTGCAACATTGTGAGAAAATTACCGAAAAAAAGGGTTGAAAAGTTGGTTTTTCTGGTCGAAAAGAGGAATAAGTTCGCAATTGTACAAACGCACAAAAACAAACGAGTTCCCAGATTTTTATTTGCCGTCACTTTCCCTCCTTGGTAAGCAACATTTTGAGCCTCTGATTTACCGAAACAAAGTGTATTTATATTTCTGTATAACAGGATTTCTATTCAATTGAGAATTCAAATTTTAAACAGTAGTTTTGATAATAATATAGCTAGCATTACAATGTCGAGTCACATTGACTAGTCAAGTTGATCTTCGGGTTGAGGAACTACCAGATATTAGTGATGATATTGTTTAAGCCATTGAGGTTAACTTAGTGGTAAAGATGATAGGAGTAGGCTAAGTCTAAGATTTGAAATCCTCGTATGTATGTAACAAAAAAACCAACTATTGTTTTGTGGACATGTAAATCAACTATGGTTTGATGACTCAGACCTGAATTTCATTTTATTTATGTTGTATGCCTTTTTTGTTGTATGTATTGTGGTCTTACTATTGTTGGTATAATTAAGTTCATCAATCTTTTTGCTGTACTATAATTTTAGGAGAAGAAACATGGTCAAAAGTCTGATTCTGTTGAGATTTTTTATATGGTGCATCCGAGCAAATGTCGGTATATAGGTTTTAAATTTAATTATTTTAGTAGGAATGATGATGTATATTCTTTTGTTTTTTCCTTGTTTTACTCGAAAAATCAGTATTCCTAATTTGAATGAGCCTAAATATTTACAAAATGAACATGCTTACTGCAAAAAAATGTGTTTGTATGGTTGTA